ACTTTTGCCTGCTGGTGAGTGCTCCGCACAGAATGGGGAGGAGAAGGACATGGTGAGAGGGCAAAAAAAAAAAAAAAAAAAAAAAAAAAAAAAAAAGGTCCGTTATTGTCCTGTATATCCTCTCCTCATCTCTCCTCTCCTCTCCCAAGAGTCCCTAGCTGCTTACTAAGATGGGATCGCTATTAGATGATGATTCCGTGATACCGTGATACCGTGATGATGACCATGTGCGCAGGGACCAGACGAACCTCACTCCCAACCGGCGACTGAGGAGGGAACCGATTGCGTCCCAGCGGCCCGCAGAGACCGCCCGTTCATCGACCCATTGCTGGATGTCCGGCCTCGGTATGGGATCGCGGCCCATGGCCCACGGGTCACTGCTATATTACTACACCGTACCAGTTAGTCAACCTGTAAGCGGTGACCTGTACTGCTCGTCAATAGCATTATGCAGATCACGGATTGGAATGTCGTGGGCCGACAAGGTCAGCAGTTGGAACTGATAAGGTCCTCGGTCATCATTGGTCCGGGCCACCACCACTCTAGTCCTTTTTTATTTTTCTCTCTCTCTCCCGAAGAAGAAAAAAAAGGCGTCAGGGATGCGAATAATGTCACGTCGTACCATGCATGATGGTTCGAGTCTCCCATTCTCATTTCTCATCCTCAATATTCATCACGATACCGCACCGTCCACTGACCAGTACCGCTACTGACAACTGCCATACGAGGAGACTTATCAGCACTATTACAGTCTACAAGTCTACATACCAGTCTACCTAAGACACACACTTTCTTCTTCTTCTTTTTTCTCTTCTCAAGTATAAGAAATAAATAAAAAAATAAAAAAAACCTCATTCGAATAATGATACTAGTAATATATATATATATATATTGTTTGTGTGTGTTTGCATCAAACAGCCAAATGCAACCGGAAAAAGGATAATCCGGGACCGAGGTTGTTGCCTCAAGATGACATAGCAAACATTCTCACATATAATTATCACGATGAGAGTCATCCTAGATCAATACAGCATACCGATCATCACAAATGCAAAGGCTCTTCCTAAAGAAGGAGCTGATGCACCTGTGATATCGTGAGGTGACGATAGAGGAAGTAAAGACGAAACCAACATATATATATATATATATATATTAAAAGAATAAAAGATAATCCCACTATAAAACTCCACAAGTATATCAATCATTTGTTGACTTGCACACTTCTGCCAGATCCCGTACCCATGTAGTAGTAAAATATCCAAAAGAGATGGACCAGATGATAAGAAGAACCAGATTAAGAAATAAGTAATATAGCCAGAAAAGTAAAGCCCTTGTTGGTACAGAATATGCTGCTGCATACCATGAATGTATGTCTGTAATGTTTTTGTTGTCTTGCCTTCTCTCCTCCCTGTCATCGTCTTGACCGTCCCATTGGGGGTGGGTAACCCATACCCGTCATCTGGGGCGAGACGTGAAACCGCCCCTCTCCGTCCTGAGTCTAGTATGGGAGGAGAAGGAGGAGAAGGTTCCCGATGCATCTTCCTGCCGTCCACGATGATGATTATATCGTGAACGAGAGGAGAGGGAGAGGGAGAGGGAGAGGGAGGGAGAGGGAGGGAGAGGGAGGGAGAGCAGAGAGCCGAGGCCTCCGACGAGTCCGCCATCGAGGCTGCCGACCCTCACCTAGAAGCCAAAGACCTTGAAGCGACCCTCGGCAGGCGCCTGAGACGCCTCCACGGACTTCTGGAGCCTGCGCGTCTCCCGCACCGCCGCATCCCTCTCCTCCTGGAGGTTGAGGACCTCGACCTGCGCCGTGCTCATGCGCGTGATGACGTCCTGCATCTCCGTCTCGGCCTCGGCCAGCGCCTTCTCGAGCTCGCCCACCTTGGCGCGGAGAGACTTCATCTCCGCCTCGTCCTCGAACGAGGCCTCCGTCAGCCGCGGCGATCCCGGGAACGCGGACGGGCCGCGGCGCGCGAGCGGGGACCGCGGCGACCTGAGGGCCGCGCCGCCCTTGACGAGGCCGTCGACCCGGTGGAGGGCGCTGCTCTGCGCCTCGTGCAGCCGGCCGATCTCCTCCTCGTGGCGCGCCACCGTATCCTCCGACGCCGTCTGCGCCGTCACGAGGTCGTCTTCCAGACCGCGGAGACGCTCCATCAGGAACGTGATGCGGTTGTTGTTGGAGTGGCGGTCCGCGTCGCCGCGCGCCACCGCGTCCGCCAGCCGCGTCCGCAGGTCGGCGTTGGCCGCCAGCTGCCGCTGCACCTGCGACGCCAGCCTCTCCACCTGCCGCGCCGACTCCGTCAGCTCGTCCGAGAGCGAGCGCTGCGCCTCGACGCCCCTGCCCCCGTCGGCCGACAGGTCGTCGTACCGGCCCGCCAGGGCCTCCATCTCGCCGCTGACGGCGTCGCGTTCCGCCACCGCCAGGCTGAGCGCCCGCTCGAGACGCTCCATGGCGCCCCGCGTCTCCTCGTCCGGCGGGAGGCCCGACTCGAGGTCCTTGATGCGCTGCAGCGACTCCGTGTACAGCGTCTGCAGCTTGCGGTACGCCTCCCGGAGGGACGCCGACGACACCGGCGAGTCCGACCCGGCGCTGCCCACGCTCGAGCGCGCAAACGACGTCGGGATGAGGATGTCGTTCTCGTCGAGGAGCTCGCGCAGCGACGCGATCTCGCCCTCGGCCCTGTCCAGGTCCATCTTCAGGCCGCTCAGGCCCTTCTCCACCTGCCACTTCTGCTCCAGCGCGTCCTCGGCCCGGCGGCGCAGCAGGTTGACCTCGGTGCGGAGGTTCAGGATCTCCCTCTCGAAACCGCCGCGCTTGGCCGGCCCGGCCATGAGGCGGTCGCGCTCCGCCTCCAGGCTCCGGATGCGCTTCTCGTAGTCGCGGCTCTGGAAGAACTGCCTCTCGAGGAGGTTCTTCAGCGCGCTGTGGAGGGCGTCGCGCTGCACCTCCACGTCCTTGAGGCGCTCGGCGAGGGCCTCGCGGGACTCGACCTGGCCCGTCTTGACGCTGTTGGACCTCGACAGGCCCATGCCGCCGCTCCGTCCGCGCATCCCGCCGGCGGCCACCGAGTTGGACCGCGAGAGGCCGCTGGCCATCATGACGGAGCCGCGCTTGGGCGTGATGTCGCCCAGGACGGAGCCTCGGCGGAGGCCGACGTTCTCGCCCATGACGGAGCCTCGGCGGAGGCTGCTGTTCTCGCCCTTGAGCGTCTCGAGCTCCTGCTGCATCTTGGTCGACTCGTACGTCAGGTTGGCGTACTCGGCCGCCTCGGCCTCGAGGCCCTCGACGCGCGCGCGCAGCTGCGGCACCACCTCGTCGCGGAGGTTGTCGCGCTCGTTGCAGGCGCCCTGCAGCTCGCCCCTGAGGGCCGACAGCAGGTCCTCAAAGTTGTCCTTGGACGACCGCTCCTCGACGAGGCGGCGTCGCAGGTCTTCGCAGCTCTCCTCGAGCTCCCTCATGCGCTCGTTGGCGTCCAGGTTGTTCATCTGGGCCAGGTCGACGTGGGATGCCCGCTCGGCGAGCTGCTTGATCTTCAGGTCGAGATCTTTCCGCCTCAGCCTCTCCTCCTGGAGCTTGTTGGTCAGCTCCAGCTTGATGGAGGCCTTCTCCTGCTCTGACCTCCTCTGGATCTTCTCGATCTCCTCGCGTCCGTTCTCCGTCTCGCTGGCCTTGGCGGAGCTGTAGCCGGAGTCGGAGAAGTAGTCGCTGGTCCGCTTGCTGGCGGCCTGGGCGTTGCTGGCCTGCTCCTGCAGCCGGTCGACCAGGTCCTCCAGGTCCATCTCACGTCGGATGGACGCGGCCAGCTCGGAGCTGATGGATTTCAGCTCGTCCTCCATCTCTTCAATCTGTTCTAGGTCGTAGGGTTCTAGCGTCGGCGACGTGGGTAGGTAAGGATTACGGCTTCCGGTTGCGGCGTCATTTGATCTCGGGTCGCCTGCGTATAGCGCACTCGTCGTCTTGGTGGGAAAGACGGCGGCCGCCCCCTTTGTGGGCGGGGTCTGCGGCGTTGTGGCCGCGGTGAAATCCGTCGCACCGGGCGACTGGTTGCCCCAGCCGAAGAAGGTGGCAAATGGCGATGCCGGAGCCGGGGACTTGGGCAGCCTCTTGTTGCGGTACGCCGAGTCTGGAGTGCCCGTGTCGGAGTTTAGGGACACGGCGTCTTCTCGTATTGATGTGTCGACTTGCTGTAGTTTCAGATGGGGTGGCGTGGGCTTCGATGCTCGCATTGGGGATGATGATTCACGCCGGTCGATGTGGTCGGAGACAGCCGACTCGTACTCGTCGTCGTCGTCGTCGGTAGAGACGGCTTCAGGTCTGAGATTGCTGTTGCTGCTACCGCGGCGCTCGTCAGCGGCGACCCTGGGCGTCGAGGCGGCGTCTGTCGGCTGTCGGTCGTGCCGGTCCTCCCTCTGCTGTCCCGGTCCTTGTTCAGACGTATGGTCGGAGAGGAGGTCGTCGTAGACGGACAGGACGTCAAACTGCGATCCAGACCCGGCGTATTCGTCGTCGGGAAGGTCTCGAGTCTCGGGCGTCGGGCCGACGTCGTCAGGGTTGAAACGGGCCTCGGACGGTCTGCACGGCACCAGTCTCGGTCAGCCGACATGATCAAGTGGCGTTGGAGGCACGGCAGGGATGGAGGACGTCGACGTTGGGCTCTCTCGGCAGGGAAAGAAATCCCGTCCGCGGAATTCCAACCATGCAGAGAGCGGCGACGGAAGGATTCCTGCTGACTTACCTAGGCTGCGACGCAGTAAGGCCGACACCTTCCGGATACTCGTAGAGAGTAGGGCTATCCTGGGCAGAGGCGTCCCTCTCGAACCTGTGATCGGTGGTGGGCAGGTCGATGTACGAGGACGAGGCGGTAGAGCTCGAAGCCTGGGAGAAGCGAGCGGCAAAGGTAGCTGCGGCGCCGGTCAGGGGCTTCCTCTTGATCTGGTGGACAGAAGAGCGAGGTGTAGTGGACGTGGAGGCGGAAGTATCGACGGGAGGGGCAGGTGGCGTCGGTGGTGGTGGTGGTACTGCTGCTGCTGTAGCGTCGGAGATCTGCGCGTCGTCCTTGTCGTCGGTACGAGAGCTTGCGGATGTGTCTATGCCAATGCCTGTGCCTGTGCTCGTGCTCCTCGTATGGGAGTGATAGCGGCCGCTAGTATGGTTACCTCTGGTGGTAGTGGTAATAGTATTATCGGCAGTGGTGGTGGTGGTGGTGGTGGTGGTGGAGGGAGAGGAAGAGGAGGGTGGTAGCGGTGCTATCTGGCTCATGGGAGGCAGGGGCCCGGTCTCGTCAGACGAGGCAGATAATACAGTATGCGTCTCGAAGTGGTGGGCAGAGGACAAGGGAGGGACAGGCCACGAGGAGGGGATCGACAGCGTCTCCTGGGGGTCAGCAGACGAGCGAGGGCTTGATGCCATTTCGGGCACGAGTGCGACCCTGACAGACAGGGGACAAGGGGGGGGGTTTCAATTCTGCAAAGAGGTGTCCTTATCGCCGGGGATTGACCATGAACAAGGACAGAGACTCCAGGGAGCAGAGAGAGCAGAGAGAGGGATGGACCATGGGACGGTGATGTTCAGATTTGGGGGGGGCCTGGAAGCAGAGGGGGGGGAGGGGCCAAGGGCCGATAACAGGGGGGGCGTGTGTGGGCGCGCGCGTACGAATGGTCGGCAAGTGTTACGGCGTTATTAATTGAGGTACGAGTAATCTCTTATCACACGCGGTAATAATTATGTGAGAAGGAAAAAGAGAAAGAAAGAGAAGAAGAGAGAGAGAGGGAGAGAGAGGAAGAGGTCATCCATAAGACCAGGGGGGGGGTATGAGCGGGTGGGTTTGGTCGGTTGGATGATGTTAGCGCTCTCACTCCAGCGACCTGTTCAGAGAGCTCTCCTTCGCTTTCCCTCTATGGGCTGGGCTGGGCTGGGGGTGCTCAACACCTGACAGGGGTTGATGGTGATTGGCAAGGGGGTTGAGATTGAGAAGAGCCAAGGCTAGAGTAGAGGTGCGGCAGAAAGGGAGATGATGAGCGGCAACGACGGCGGCGAGGGCGGACGCGCGGTGAACAGGTGGTAATAGTGGCAGGTTCATGCCAATAATAACGGTAATCTACTACTACTCGTACTAGCAGCATTGATACATTGCGAGTACGGATAAGTAGTGATATTGATAACACCTGCACGTCAGTACCGATAACGTTAGCAGTAGTATAAATAACACGTAGGTACGGATGCATATATCTATCTATATATATCCATCTATATACGCTCTCGCAGCTGTCGTATCGCGTTCGCCATAATTTACTTTTTTTTTCTCTCTTCATATGATATTACTGCTCGTAGTCTGTGTAGAGGGGCTTAGAGGGACGGCTCATAAACCACCAGTATTATCAATAACGACAACGGCGCGAGCGGAAAAAGAAGAAAAGAAAGAAAAAAAGAAAAAAAAGGGGGGGAGGGGCGGCTCGCGTCGTTCAGGGGAAGGTGGGTCCATCTGGCGCCGTGGGACCATTCACAGCCCCTTCAAACTTGCGTAAGTTGGCAGTGTGGCTACCTCAATCCACCAATCAGGCAACGGGTCTCGCGTGTCAGGTCGGTTCCTGCGCTAACGCCAGGGCACTGAAAGCCTTGGGCCCTGGGCCTCGGACCTTGGGGCAATGGGGGGGAGTATCATTACGGAGAGTACGGAGTACAGATTACGGATGCAGTGCAGATTAGTATGCTGACTACTGCGCGGTAATACTGTGTATTCTGTACGATGCATGATACTGCTAGCCTCTTCCACCTAGAACTTGTATTACCTAGTACTCCGTACAGCATCCATTCTTTAATTTATAGAGCGCTAACCTGGCAGGCCCAACCCCACAAACGTCGCGTCTCGTCCAATTGTGGGTAAGGGTGTCGCGCATGCCCTGACGCCCGGTTTAAGAGGCAGGAACGACCTGTCGCCGCAATAAACCACATTCCTGTCACCTATCACCTTGTAATAATCTTCATTCCCTGATTCTTAAATGCCGATTTGCCACGCACTCGAGATGCCATGAATCATGGATCAAGTTACCACTTATGTAATACCCGAATCTTTCTCCTCTGCCGGATTCATCTCTACTCAGTTCAGATCATAGCTGGCACCACTGCTTTCAGAGGGCAGCATGAGGCTTGAACACACATGATGATCATAAATACCGATTACTAACGATGATGATGCTGCTCCGTACACGTCGATGCTCCGTACATTACTCCGTACATTGCTCCGTACATTGATAGTATTCCGTACATCTTCGACTACATGTTGCACGTGATGATAATTATATAATAATGTAATCTTGCAGTCTGACTCTCTTGCTTCAATATAATATTGAGCCGCATCCTCCTACCTCCTCCTACCTCCTCCCTCCCCCCTTTTCCCACTGACAGGTAAAAGTTGATCCTGCGTCTGCTACGCTACGGATGATGACCATTTGATGCGCCATATCCCTCTCTGCATATCGATCCTACGACTGATACGGCTGCTGGGTCATGTCAATACAAAGTACTCCGTACCATATCCCAGATGCTCATCTCCGCTCTGCATGAGATCAACCTCTCCACTGACTGGATAGTCACGCATTGCGTAATGTTAGCTTTATCTCCTCTTGTGACCTCTTTCAATGCTGCGCGGTGCATTCACGTCCATTTTTCTTGCATCATCTTTTTTTTTTCTACTCGCAAATTGTTCCGTCATACGGACGCCTCCCTGCACTATATTATGAATATTCTTTCCAAGGTAAGCCTGCTCGTACTCGTACGGGTATTCTTCGTCATGATGCATGCACTGTGTTACGTACATCACCCCCTCCCTCGCTCACGACGTTTTTTACGCTGATTTTACTAGTGAGCACCGTTCCGAGACCCCGTTACAGGTTTTGATTATTGTTCTCATCTGCCAAGTTCCTGTTACGGTCGCATGTAAGACTTCCCCGCCCCCAGTCCCAGTCTTCGACACGACAGGGAGAGACACAAAACAACGGTCAGCCTTGTAGCTTTACCGGCCAGCCAGGGGCTTGAAGAAGAGAGAAAGAAAGAAAGAAAAGGTCAAGCAAGCCTCTACTCGTACGAATAGAGCGAGCAGTATTACCAGTACGAGTACACCTACTAGACTCCTAGAGTGAGAAGAGAGTTGGTCCATGTACCACCAATACAGGCATGGGTAGGGGGTTGCAAGAGGCCGTCATACGTGTCCATCTCTCGATGGGTCTGTGGATGACGACGGATTGCGTGCAGTATGCAATCCGTGAATGATACATTGATACGTGGAATCCGTACTGCGATTAATCATTGATTGCCGTACTGTATCCGTACACCAGTCTCCCTCTACTTACGATATACATCTGTACGCTCCCCATCTTCCATCCTCTCAGCAGTTCACGAGCAGCGGACGAGTAACATATACGGAGAGAGGGAGCATGGACCTGTATCAGGTTGTCCGACGAGTATCAATACTCCGTGCACGTACGAGCATTGCGGTGAGATACGAGTCTCGTAATCTTATACGGAGCTCATTATATCGTATACTCTTTACAGAGTAGGCATCGCTCGTACCTGTCCGTACTCGATGCTCGTACACCTGGGCATGCACGGTAAGTCGAGCTAAAAATACGTCTCGATAAGCTTCATAATACCAAGATTGTTAAGGATCCGGTGAATCTCGTATTCATCAGCTGACAAGCCCACGCCCGTGCATCCCAGTGCCATGAGGAGGATGAGGGACAAGAGAAGAGAAAAGGTGCCTCGGTTCTATCTGAGTGGATGCAGATCTTCCCTCTGTTTTTTCTTCTTTTTTTTCTTACTTCCTCTCCTGTCTCTCCTGTCTCTCCAGTCTCTCTTACTAATCCCTTCATCGAGAAAGATGGAGGAAACGACGAGGAAGGAGAAGAGGGATGGGCGAGCCTCTTTGCACACATTAGCCGGGACGTTGCATCGATCCCTTACCGTGACCTACGATGATACCTCGCATCTCCGTAACAACCCAACAAATCCGTTCCCAATACTCTGTTTCGAGACATCTTACACCAAAAACCAAAGATAAATGACTCCTCAGTTCCTACTCTTTCTTTACGTTGCCATGTGAGACCGTGGTGGAGATTCAGAAGAGAGGAAGAGAGGAAACTTGCTCCCCCGAAGAGGAAGAAGAAAGTACAGGATGCAGAGTAAGACTTAGAATCAAGAAGATGGAAGATGGAAATTTCTCACGCTGTAAAATCCAACTTCCCAGGTGGCAAGACTGCCAACGTCCCGTTGCAAGGACACCTCCTCTGCTGGGCCATCATGAATGTCAACCCGGGGCCCTTGCCGGGCATCTCCTCCATGACCCACGTGCACCTCGTGCACCTCCTCCACTGCTTCCCCGGTCCCATCTTGAGCTTGTTCTTGGTGAAGGTGTCGAGTTGGGCCGTGCGCATGCCGTCGACGACGGACCCGTCGTCCTGCACCGTCATGACGGAGAGGGGCTGGAAGAAGAGCCTGGCCGGGTCCGTGGCCTTGCGGAACATGACCAGGTCGTACCCGAAGAACTTGCGCAGCACCGGGAACAGCCCCAGCGGCGGCGACGTCGCCACCAGAGTCTGCGTCTCCATCTGCGCGCGTATCATCTTGACCGTCTCCTCCTCCTCTTTGCTCTGCGGCTGGGGCGTCGCTCCCGCCCCCGCCCCCGCTCCCCTAGCCCCCCTGGCCATCTTGGGGAGGAAGGTCCCGTATGCGTGGTTGACCCCGGACCCCAGCGTGCTGACGAGCTTCTCGAACTCGCCCGCCCGCACCAGCGCCGAGCTGCTCACCTGCTGCAGGTTCTGGAAGGCCCGCTGCATGCGCGGGTTGGGCGTCCCCGTGTTCGCCGTCGCCAGCGCGGACTGCTTCCGGTAGAACGTCACCGCCTTGGCGGCGATGGTCTCTATGTGCATCAGCCGCCGGCACAGCGCGCTCAGGAAGCACCGGCTGCTCGAGCAGATGAGCAGGTGGAGCGCCACGTCGTTGCGCTTCTCGAGGTACGGCCCCAGCTCCGCCGCCCGCTCCGGCGTGAGCAGCCGCGAGAATTCCTCGTCATTCATCAGCTCGAACAGCGAGTCCGTGATCCATGCCACCAGGTCGAGCGACCACCTGATCAGGGACCCTAGCATCTCGACAACCTCGTGGTCGTCCATCGGACTCCGCCGCCCACCGACGTTGAACTGTGCCGTCGCCACGACCGTCGCGTTGAACGCCGCGCTCCGGATCGCCGCCGTCATCGACGCAAAAGCGCTCTGAAAGGTCCGCGGCCTCGTGTCGCCTCGGAATCCCAGGCTCACGAGTATCGCCATGCATGACGGCAGCTGCGTGTTCTTGAGAAGCGCGTCGTGGGAAGGCTCCACGACGTAGTCGACCTGAACCGCGAGGATCCGGATAACCTCGCTGACCCAGTCTTGCACGAATCCTGCTGGGCGGTCAGCAATGCGGTAGCCCATCGGGGCTGGGGTCATGAATGTCCAGGAACCTACTCGGTTTCTCCGCAAGCGGCCGGACAATGGCGAGGATGTCGTCAAAGTTGGTCTGGTACTTTATGGATGTTGCCGCCGTGACCGTGAGGCCGGCAATCGTAGCCGCGTATCTCTCTGTCCGTCCGTCAGTCTCTGCAGAAAGGGAGGGGTCGGCACGGGCTTGGGACGGTCAGGCAACTCACCATCGCGCATGCCATTCCCGATATCCCCATCCGGGAGACGTATCCTGCTCCACCTCATCTTCCCGCTGTCCCCCAGCTGGATCATGGAACACCCAGTCGGCGAAAGGGCAATCTGCTGACCTGTTTTTTTGAAGGAAAGAAGGAAAGAAAGAAGAAAGAGGTTGGTCAGAATTCGATGGTGCTTTATCCCCCAGCTATCTCGTTCTATGCTGTAAGCCGATTGTTACTCACATTGCCAGTCGTCGGGAAAGGTGAATCCGACCTGCTGCAGGTTCATGACCGATGCATATTCACGCTCGGTGTATATCTCCTCAAAGGTGGAGCGGTCGCGGTGCTGGACGCTCCCGTCCGAAAAGGTCAGGATGACAGCCTTACCAAACTGCGCAGACTGGAGGCCGATGACGCATTTGTCGATGAGGATAGGTTCGAGCGGGTTGAGGCTCATCGACGAGGCCGGCTCTGATGCGGTGCTGTTCCTGCGGTTGCCCAGCTGCCTGACGGCCGACTGCAGCTTGTGGTTCTGCTCACGGGCTTCCCACCTGTTGATGATGGTCTGGGCCGCTGGGAAGGTGCCGGGGCTGGTGGTGCGTGCGCGGGTCGTGACGACCATGGGCGGCACCGTCTCCTTGCCAGCCTTGTCCGTTACGGAGGGGAGGACCAGCAGATTCGTCACCTCGGGCGTCGAAACTTGCTCCGGGGTATCGTCCGCCCAGCTCGTTATGGCGCACGACTTAGCTACCAGACCAGCGTTGAATCGCGTGTCCTGCGAACCCCGCTCTTTGCCGGGTTGAACAACCCACTGGATGTCGACGCGGACAAATTGAAGTTGGCGGGCTGTGGTGATCATGGCGAGGATGAGATGCTCTATAAGTAGCAGAGTCAGCACATCTTTTTGTTCCCCCGCGGTTTTCCAATTTCCAAGCCCTGACACACACACACGTGTCTTTTTCTTGTTTTGGTTTACGCACTCTTTTCTGAGGCAAGAGCAGCATGAGTGATGAGTTCATCTGCGCTGCCAATACTCTCCAGCTCCAGCCTCGTCTCCTCGGGTCTGTTGTTGACCTGCATCCACACCATCTTGAGGATGCCGCCCGTCGTCACGGTGAGCAGGGCGCTCCTCCCCGTCTGCGGGTGGGCCGGTGACTCGGCGTGGACGAACGAGCTCGTGTAGTGGTAGTTGCCGCGTTCGGTCTTGCTGGCGGGCCCAAAGAGCACATTGTACGACTGGCGCGTCGCCTTGTCGCCCATGCCGGTCGTGGACAGGTTGGCGGGCAGCCAGTAGCATCCCACGACGGCTTGGCTGTCGTCGACTGGCTCGGAATCCCACCTCTTGACCATGAAGGGCTGGTTGAGGGTATTGGAGAAGATGAGCAGCGCGAGCCGGCCAGCGCTGTCAAAGACGGCCAGCTCGGGGTTGTTGGTCTCGGACCACTCCAGATGCACCAGGGGATCCTCGGGCGTGCCCCTGACCAGGCCGCACACCGTCGGCTCGCTGAGGTCCCACTCGCCATCGGAAGGTTGGCATCTCAGGAAGCGAATCTCCAGCTCTTGGCCGTCTGGTGTGATCGATGCGATCGTCCCCACCTTAGACCAAGCCACAGTCCTGCAATAGGGGAAGGCACAAGTCAGATATCAGAGGCAAGGAGTGGTGGCGGGGGTTCGATGCGTGAACGAGGCACATACCTGAAGCAGCCGCGATTCCTTAGCTGGTCCAGTCTCAGATCGATCTGCTTGGTAGGCTGCCGCATGGGAAGACCGCCGGTGCCGTCGCCAAATAGGTCGTCGACGTCTCCCACTCCGTCTATCTGCATGGGGAGGCCATTATCGAGAAGGAGGGGCATCTCTTTGGTGGCCATGTGGCAATTGTCTGTTCACCCCTCTAGACGATTATCTCAAAAAAAAAAAAAAAAAAAAAAAAAACTTGCAGGGAGATGTGGAATGTAAATGGCCAAGGATTTTTCCAATCTCTTCCTCGTAGCGATGACGTCCACAGAATGATATGCAAAGAATGAAGTCCAGGATGATGAGATCCAAAGACTGGTGTCCAAAAAAGATAAAAATAAAAATAAGGAATTATTAGAAAATAAATGGAAGGGAGCGGGAAAGAAGGAAAAGAGAGGAAATCGCTGAATCAGAGATGAAGTGTTAAGCAGCATCAAACGACTGAGCTCCAACCTCGTTGCTGTTGCCAGGTCATGTCTCGATAACAATCAGCAGAGCATCACGTGTGCGCAAAAGCTAGCCACGGCAGAGAGCAAAAGATGAGTTAGACGAGCCACCGAGTCACTGTTGGGCTTTTCCAGGTTTTGTCGTCGTCGTGGTTGCGCCTATGTCATGTTGATGAGCAAGATGGTCGGTGATGATGAGATGGGGCGGCGATCAAGTTCAATGTGAGAGACTTGAGGCCAGCACGAATAGCTGTGATGGCCGTCGTCGGCAAAGCCCCGGTTAGCCAGTATCGGGCGCTTGTTGTTGCACTTATGCGGTATTAGTATAATTTACTACCATATGTACTTAAGAGAGGTACTCTGGCCGTGTACGAATACGGATGCAGGGAACAGATATCAGAGTCCTCGTACCTGAGGCTCTGCAGTGCAGTGCAGCGTCACTGTTGATCTCTCCAGCGCTTTAATCCCGACAGCGCACGCCTTGGCAGTCGGCCCATGATACAGGCCAGCTTGCTCTCCGTACTGCTCCGTATATCATTACATAATACATATCGATACTTAGGAATCACCCAACTGAAACCTTGGCGGCTGAGAAGGACAAAAATTGAAGATTGGAAAAGGAGCTGGGTTCTTGGAGAGAAGCCATCCTGCCATACATGTACCGCTACTAGTAGTACTGATACGTCGTATTCAATCTCCTTTCAGCTGTACATGTATGGCCAGGTCGATCACGGGCCTTCACGGCAAAGATCGGGTCGAGTATGTGACGTCAGATGGACGGAACAAGTTCAAGTACCTACCCTACGTACAATTGTTCTATGAAGGTGCGGATGCCATGATAGCACCTGTGTATGTAGACAAGTTGAGATAGAAAGAACAAGACATCACGAATAGATATCGGTTGATGGAGATATGGATGCCCCCCAGACCTTGTCAGCCCCCTTTATAGATAACGCGTCATATCCAACTTTCCATCAGTAGTAGTGGTAGTAGTAGAAGTAGTAGTAGTAGCAGTCTACGTTCAACGCCGATGTAGTTCTATGTAATATAGCTCTACTTCATTCCTCCCTCTCCTCCTCCTCCTCCTCCTCCTCCTCCATTATCACCTCTCTCTTTTTTCCCTCTGTTGGAAACCTACAACACGGTGTCCGGCGATACCTTGCTACTTACCCGCTCACAAGTCCTAGCAATCAGCCTAGAAGTGAAACAAAGGGACAGAGCAGTAGCATCCGTTGAATTAGAGTAAGCATATAAGTTTGATGGTGCAGATTACTAGTCCCTGGCCAAGTCTAAAAAAAAAAGCCTACTCAATCATTACGACTTACTTGGCGAGAACTCAAACCTGCCAAGGAAGTCTCTGTTATTCAACGACTGGATACTTGATGTCATGATGCCAGCGGTCGCCTCGTACATCGATGTAGTATGGTAGTATGGGTAGTCTCTCGTCAACTCCGTGCTATGTACATGAATCCACTCCGTGACTCAGTAGGGGTGTCATCTTCCACGGCACCAAAGCCATCATGATCACTACGACGCAAGGGAGGCAACTTGTCCTCGATCCTATCCGTCTAGCCGCCTTCCCTACCTTGCGTGCGTATAGCCGATTCAAGGCCTAACTGATACGTAGGCGAGGTGGAATGGGTATGCACTAGTATGAGCACGATGATGATTCCATCTCTCCCTCTCTCTCTCTCTCTCTCTCTCTCTCTCCCCTCTTCTCCTCTTTCTCTATGGTCTCTGCCACGACTACAGTTAGTACCGGCATACATGGATGGTACTATAAGAGAAGAGAGGAGAGGAAGCAGAGCGGTGGAGAACCAGATACGACTCAGATGCAGTCCGCAACATGTCGTGCGTCGGGGACCGGGTGGGATACTGCATTTACCTATATCTCTCTCTTAGACTTCGAGATCGAAATCAAGCATATATTAAGAGAGCCCTTTGCACCTTGATAGCCACATCTTGTATTCGGTACGTGCGACGACGACGACGACGATGACGACGTACAACGTCCGGCGTAGCATCGCATATATTGCGTAGTACACCCCATGCTACGGGGCCTTTGGCATCGGCCGTGTAGGATCACACGAGAGCCAGGTATGGTATCAGCACACATCTTTTACATCAACTCCTACTCACTTAATGTTCTAGCACCTCGGGGGAGGGGGGGGACGGCGCAAGATACGGACTTGCACTCGGTTACATCTACATGCAAAGGCGGGATGCGACTCTGTTGCATGCTACGGCTATCAACCAACCAGCGTGCAATACATGTACTCTGTCAACACGCAAGACGAGAACGAGCAGTTGCTGTGCAGCGGACTCCAAGACCGTATAATACCTCGTACGGCGAGTACAATACGCCAAGACCGCACGAGGACGACGTTCTTATCACAGGTCCACTACGAGTACGACGTGATACCGCACGGCAGACGGACGGACAGAGTATTATCATCACTGCTCCGTACTCGCACTCTGGCCCACTGCCTTGACCCCGTACCTACGGAGTGAGTGAGGGAAAGAGAAGAAGAGAAGAGAAGAAGAAGAAGAAAAGTTCCTACCCACCCAGGGCCAGATCTTCTCTCCTGGCCAATATCACTGCACTGTCCATTGCTCTGCGGAGTCACACGCCTCTGGCCTCTATCTCGGCGGCATCGTGTGGGGGCTCAGAGTCCCGACATGGAGATGGCCAAGTGGGATGGGAAAAGAAGCCTTGTCATGTATGGGCTCTCCTTCTGTACAGCGCATAGAGTGATAGTAATATCACGTCTCTAAATGTATATTGGCACACGATACTACGTACGAGTATGTGACCCGACGACCAGAGTCGGGATGAGTCGCGTATACTTCCAAACTTATTCTCAGCATCATCTCTATCTTGAGATATACCTGCTTCCTTTTGCTGCGCCGGCCAGAGTTCCGTCTGAGATACGTAGAGAGAGAGAGAGGTCGAGGCATTCTGCTTTGACCAGCTGGAAGGGAAGATACAGGACGCATCATATACGTATCACATATAGCGGTTTCGTACTTTTCATCTTGTATATTCAGTTTCGCTCACCAATGCATATGTCATGATGGTACGATAGCTTCCAATCTCGAATCATTCATAGATCTGTCGTCCTCTCCCGTCTCCTCCCCCCCCCCCCCCCCTTCTTCTTCTTCTTCTTTTTTCTTCTCTTTTCCCTTGCCACCTTCGTCCACCAATACCCTGCATGGTAATGAAGGGTGATCTCTTTTGGATCTATTATTACCAGGTTTAGCCCCGCCTTGGGCAGCAGAAGGGAAAGAAGAAGAACAGGAACTGCCCAAGACTAACAAGACCCTGGGTTTATGGTTAGATGAGTGGCCCTCGCAAGAGCGAATATGAGTTGACAGTCGACCAATTTAAACCATCATCAAATTACTGTAGCGGGGAATGTTTCAGAACCACGACTCTTTTTTTTCCCTTTT